GCGTGGACTTGGTGACCTCCTTCCGCTGGCGTCGGCTGCAGTGCGGTGGCGCGACGAAGGCGAATATGCCGGAGACGGAGAACGTGGTCGACGTCCCAAGCCTGGCTGGTAATTAGGCTCACCGTCGTCATTGTTAGCTCGGCGGTTGTCAAAATGGAACCGAGACAAGGAAGGTCGTTGAGACTCAGCGTCCCGGCGTGGTGGGTAGTCGTCGTTGGGGCGTCGATCGTCAGACCATTGCCGAAGAGGTCGAAACGTGTCGACGCGGTGCCAGCAATGACGAGAAATGTGGCCAACACCTCCGCAGGTAAAACAAAGCGGACGTCTATCCACGGTGCGCCAGACGTCTGTTTTACGGAGCTGTGGACGCCTCAGCGGCTCATAATGTTGTAAATGCCGTGTCTCATTGGGAGACGGCTCTTCGTACGGCAGCATTTCATACGGTGGCACGACGGAAGGGCGCCGCGGTGTCTGTTCTTGCGGTGGCGACCAAGGAACGGCTGTCGATGGCTGGCGGTACGACGGCGGAACGGGCGGCGGGCGGCGAAGCGCGGCAGCGTAGCTCATGGGTCGCTGATCGTGAGTAGGATCAGCTGCCGAAAACGCTTGGCGTATTTCTTCGCGGACGACTTGAGCGACAGACGCCGTGGGTGGTTCCGTGACCAGAGTCCGCAGCTTCAGCAGCTCTTCGCGAACAATCTCTCGTATTAAATCGCGTAACGAGCTGTGATTATCAGATGTCGTAGCGGCGAGTTGAGTGTGGGTGCTGCTGGACAAGCGATCGTATTGTCGGCATCGTAGTTGAAGCGCCCGCTCGATAGCCGTAGCTTCTTTGATGAAGTCTGTCATGGTGCTTGGCGGGTTCCGCAAAAGTCCGGCGAACAATTGCTCTTTAACGCCACGCATGAGGTAGCGTAACTTTTTGTCGTCGGTCATGTGCGGGTCAGCTTTACGGAAGAGACGGGCCATGTCCTCAGCGTACATTGCGACCGTTTCATTGGGTTTCTGAACCCGTAGCTCGAGTAAATGTTGCGCACGTTCGCGCCGGTCAACATCGGCAAATGTGTCAATCATCCCTCTTTTAAATTCACTCCATGTTGACAAACTGCCTTCTCTGTTCTCGTACCGAGTACGAGCACTGTCGTAGAGATAGAAATAGGCGCGGCAAAGCCTTTGTTCAAGAGACCACTGGTTGGTGTTGGCGACACGTTCATAGTGATCAAGCCAGTCCTCGACGTCTTCATGTGCTCCACCACCAAAGCGATCAGGCACCAGCGGCGAAAAAAAGGTTACCTGAGATGGGGTTGGTGGAGTGCTGTCTCGTAGTAACTGTTGTGGACTGGCGGTGGCCATTGGGAGATGTGAGCGCTGCCTTGTAGAATGTTCCTGCGAAGGAGTGAACTCTGGAGGGAGGCTTCGCAAGCGACGACTGAAGCGATGCACGGGAGTGTCTACAAGTGCTTCTGGACTGGATGAACGGCTCCCCGTGGGAGTGTGGAGCATCAGGTGGTGTCGCGGGCCAGCACCTCCACCAGTGTCGCAGTACAACGCGAACAAAGCACAAGTACGCCTTGAGGCAGCGAGAGCAGCGTGTTTTCAACAGCTAAGCCGCAAGATTGTCTTCTTTGTTGTTGAGTCAAGCCAGAGGCCCACTACTTGGTGTCTGCTAAATCCCCACATCATCGTTGTCGTTCACACGCAGACACGGGTCAATATAAATAGATGGATACGCCAAAAATCACCGAAGTTCGCTAAGAAATGCTTCGCACTTAAAAGAACTTTAGAACAATAAGGTATCAACCGGGCGTCACAGACTTTGAATGAGTGGGTGGTTTAATGCTCCAACCGATTACGAAAATTCAAGCACAATTCTTTCTATTCGACAGCCACAACTTCAACAAAGCGCACATAATCACTTGCAAGTGTGCAGCGGGTACCTACATACTCCGAAAAAAGACGAATAATGGCGCGTGGACACTTGCCTATGACACTCAAATTTTAATGCTTCATGGCATAGCGGGTATTGTGCAAAATGTTCTTATAGTAGATTCCCCAAGAGTGTTCAAAACGGGCTTTAAAAAGTCCACACTTCCAGCTTTTACAGTGACTTTGCAGTGTGCTCCACGCTGGCCTGGTGGTTTCTTTCCGGATTTTTCCGCAGCCCTCCCGCTCAAACCTCAATAACAACCTGGGTATGACCGAAACTTTCATAAACAGCCTAAAAGTGCCAATTCGGCCTGTACGCCATTGTACAGCGTGGCAGCGTTTTAGTGGCCAGTGACACAATAGTCCAATTATCATAAATGTCGGTTAGACATTCATGATAATTGGACTATTGGACATCAGGTCTCAACTGCGCATCGCACCCATTCCCCGCAAAATGAACCCTGCGCACAACATTGGTCGACGTAGGGCCAGGGGTACACCACCATTTCCAAACGGGCACAGCAGTCTTTTTGCTTTATGTCAAGCGTCTCGTGGTGTATGAACGTTTTTGCGTAAATTTAGTAGTTGGGCGCATCCCTATGCTCGTAAGACACACGGAGTACATTGGTGTGAACTGGGTCGGCAATCACGTAATATCGGTATTCACGTTAGAGCAGAGACGTCGTGTTTATTGCGAGGAGGTGCATGCTACGATTACATGACGTGCATGCCGAAATCAGCGATCATGTGGGTATTCGCGGAATGTCTCACTTTAATCTGCCGAAGCACAGTTGTGAAGATGCAGTGAGGATTATTATATAAGCCAATAGCCAACGCTGCAACCACACTATGCGCTGTGCTGAGATCACCCGCTTTCACGGTCTTCTTCAGAAGCAGTTTGAAGCACTGGCGTTGCTCTCTAGCGGAATACTTGGCTGCAGTTCAGAATATCAGAACACTTGTCTTCGTTGCTGGCTCAAGCTGCGGTTTTCTTCTTTCTTTTAATGGAACATTTCACAAATCGACCAATCTGCTGACGCCCGTACCACTTTTTTATGTGGCATGCGCTCATGCCCATTCAAAAGTCAATATTTTTCATAGATCACGCCAGTGGCTCTTAAATGAAGAGAAATGAAAGTATAATGTGGTTTTTGAAGACGCTCAAAGTCCCGTGGCCACAGGCCGTTCTCACATCCGCCAAGCTTCATGACATACCATTTTTTTCATTTCGGCAGGGCTGATACATCTGTCACGTCTTATCATCATCACCATCATCATAATCATCATCAGCCTGACTACGTCAACTGCAGGACAAAGGCCTCGTCCATGTTTCGCCAGTTAACCCAGTCCTGTGCTTGCTGCTTCCAATTTACACCCGCAAACTTCTTAATCTCATCTGCCCACCTAACCATCTGTCTCCCCCTAACCCACTTGCCTTCTCTGGGAATCCAGTTGGTTACCCTTAATGACGAGCGGTTATCCTGTCTACGCGCAACATGCTCGGCCCATGTCCATTTCCTCTTCTTTATTTCAACTATGATATCCTTAACCCCCGTTTGTCCCCTAATCCACTCTGCTTTCTTCTTGTCTCTTAAGGTTACACCTACCATTTTTCTTTCAATTGCTCGCTGCGTCGCCCTCAGTTTAAGCTGAACCCTCTTAGTATGTCTCCAGGTTTCTGCTCCATAGCGAAGTACCGGCAAGATACGGCTGTTATATACCTTCCTCTTGAGGAATAGTGGTGATCTACTTGTCATAATTTGAGAGTGCTTGCCGAATGTGCTCCATCCCATACTTATTCTTCTAGTTTCTTCAATCTCGTGGTTCGGCTCTGTGGTTATTATCTGCCCTGAGTAGGCATAGTCTTTTATAACTTGAAGTACACTATTACCTATCACGAAGCGCTGCTCTTTTCCAAGGTTGTTGTACACTATTTTCGTTTTCTGCAGATTAATTTTAAGACCCAACTTTCTGCTCTCCTCGTCTTACTCTGTAATCATGAGTTGCGATTCGTCCCCTGAGTTACTCAGCAATGCAATGTCATCAGCGAAGCGCAGGTTACTAAGGTACTCTCCATTAACTCGTATTCCTAACTGTTCCCATCCTTGCTTCTGAAAAGCTCCTGTAAGCACGCGGTAAATAGCATTAGGGAGATTGTGTCCCCCTGTCTTACACCCTTCTTGATTGGTATTCTGTTGCTTTCTTTATACATTTCTTAAAGATTTCCGTAAAGCCTTTGGTTCAGTTTTCTGACACATATGCAAGCCAGTGTACTTTTCTTTTCAATCTTGCGTTCTTGAAGAGGAAACGTGACCATTAACAGTTTGAATGATTATGCAGACCACACAAGTTACTGATAAGCAGTTCAGATCAAATTGTCATAGGCGTGGTACCTTGGTTTAACCCCTATTTTCAAGGCAGAAATAAAAAGCACCTATTTCACGATCAATGTGGAGTCAAATGATGAGCTATCTTTACAGCCTCTTTAAATCTAAAGATTCCCCATTGACTTACACCTATCCTCAAGAGGTTCTAGAAAAATACATGATCGAAATCCACTAAACTAGTATGATGTAGACTTCCAATCACTTGAGGTGCGTTCCCGAATACCTCGGGGTGTGGTACACGATTGAGCGTCACACGTGACTGGTGAAAAGTATTTCATCATGTGCTGGGCAGTGATGTCACATTATTTATGTACAGCCGTGCCAGTTCTATTAATCGTGCACTGACGTCCTTGTTTCCAGTTTCTGGATTGCCAAGACGAGAAATTGACCACGAGAGCATGCAAGCGCAGACAGACAGACAAACAGGCAGACAGACAGACAGACAGACAGACAGACAGACAGACAGACAGACAGACAGGCAGGCAGGCAGGCAGGCAGGCAGGCAGGCAGATAGATAGATAGATAGATAGATAGATAGATAGATAGATAGATAGATAGATAGATAGATAGATAGATAGATAGATAGATAGATAGATAGATACATTCAAAGGTATTGGTGAAAGTTAGCTTTATCTTTTTAAGACCTCTTCCACGAATCACAGTCTGCTTTCTATTGTTATGTTACAGTTTGAAGCCATGCACCTAGCCGACACTTTGGGTTCGCACCATGGTCGTCCAGTGGCGAGCTTCTTGTACACGCATAGAAGCCACATCAACTCTATATGCCAGTTCCTGCTGGGATACCGCTACGATTTGAACGATCCGCGGTTCGCACCCCTTCAGGAAGCTCTGTGTAGCTTCAAGCTACAAACAGCAGCTGCACCCATAGAACACCGGGCTGCTTGGTTGCGGCGTGTGCTGATCGAGCCTCTGTTGCCCAGATGTGTCAGCGCAAATCGCCGCCGTAAAATATCCAAGCTCAACATCGTGCTCAGGTACTCAGTTGGCGTAGGCGCGTTTTCAATCGTTTCTCCTTCATTGAAGATTGGTTCGAATGTTTTTAAGTGCATAACCATTCGATATGAACAACGCCTAAACTTGCCTGGCCTAACGCCGTAGCGACGAAATGAAATAAGGTTTCATGACGGTATTGCTGATGTCGTACAATGTAATACAGTCTTGTTGCTTGAGCACTAACTGTAAAGGTTATTGGGCCAATTTGGCTTAATTTCGGCATACTACTTGAGTGTTCGAAACCACACCAATATTTACGCCGTAATGAAAAATCCGGCAATGAGGTCCTGAGAGCAAGTTGCCACTTAATTATTCGCCTGCTCTGTCAAGTTAACGACAATGAAGTTTTTCATTTTTCGTCATCAGCCTAGTATTATTTAGTGATTCGCTTAAATTCACCAATAACTTATTGCCAGCAACACCCTAAAGAAAAACAGTAAGTACACGGTGATGTCAGCCACAGCTATAACTCGTAGCATAGATGGTCAAAATAAACGCTCATAGGAAAGCTGGAAAAAATGGGGATACAGTGGCAAAATATTTTATTTCTATATGTGTTTTCTATCAAACATAATATGCAAGCGAACGACTTTACTGCAAAGCTATCACTACAACAACGCTTCAAGGTTTTCTAAAATCTACGTGTGGGAGCTTTTTAACCGCAAAAATCAACACAAAGAATGAACCGATTCATGAATCAGTCGTTAGATAAACTTGCACGAAGTTTAAAAAAGGCTGGAAGTATAGTGCACGGAAGGTTAGCGCTTATAAAAACACTGCAGCTCCGAAATTTCCATTTCAAGTGCACCACTGATGAAAATATTGTTTATAAAGTTGAAGCGCCAATTTAAAACCAAACACCACAGTGTGAAGAGCGTTAACCACCAGACGTCCGTGTAATGCACAAGATCTTGCACTATTTTTTACGTGACCATGAACGTATTGTGCAGTTTGTGCTGGTTGGGCTGAATATTATCAAGAGACGTTATCAGAGACTTCATTCGTTCACTTTTGAACATTTCCTTATAATTGTGTTGTGACATGTGTAATTGTGTTTTTGCATATATGTGCTCGAGTGTTCTATCTTCAATGCATTGCTTTTGTATGTTTTCCTTTAGGATACTTGTTGAACCTTCACTGAAGGGCTAAGGTGTTGGCGGTGTCATACTTTGCGCCAACATTTTCTTATATATCATATCACTAAAAAGTACTAATTAACAAATAATGGCGTCATGTTCGCATATGATACACATCTCAAGAATATTGTGTTTGCACCACTCACATACCTTCGTCATTCTTTGGCGTTCAACGCATTTTCAATTTGGACACATTTCTGAAGCTACAAAGGAAAAAAGACAGAGTGTGTATGAATTTTTTTACTGTCCTCTAGCGAATCACTGATTATCTTCATACAGAATGTCTTCATTTTCTTTATAGAGAATTCGTAGAGAGGAACAATAGGACAAAGAGCAGTGGGCGCGCGACAAGCTACATCGAGTTGTACATGGATAAGATCCGTGAAGCAAAGAATCCTGACGAAGGATATTTCACAGGTGCGTCATACAGAATAGTCATTGTAGAAAGCAAGTATTGCGATATGCAATGAAAGTCTTTTAACGCTCTGTGGCTTTGTATGGTCTTTGGCAGTTTAGATTATGGTGTGAGTTTAAAGAATTTTCTCTTCTTAGTTTGAACTCCCTGTAACTGGCTTTACAAAAACGCTATTTTCGCAAAAATAACATTGCAGAAAGAACGCAAGCAATAAACCCATGTGTACCAGCCATAAATAATGTGTTTTTTATACGGACATATGATGTCAGTGCAATATTTTGGTCAGATCAGTGAATAGACCAGCGATGTAAATATAGTTTTGAATGTTTTAACTACTTAAGAAAACTAGCACATAAGTTTCATTTTTCTGGAAATTATACAGCGCATCATTCGTTCAATTTTGTTTTCTTATGAAATAAGGACACGGGTACTAATAACATGTTCAAATGGGTAATTATTATAACATGGGCAGCACAAAAATTAGCCTGTGACTATATATTTGACTAATGGCACTAGCCTAATACATCGCTGAGTGACGCGCAAGATTGAAATCGGAATGAAATATTTGAATTTTGAGCTTTCGAGAATTATATGCGTCTGCGGCACATATATATTAGGGATGCAACATATCTGAAGGATACGGCAAGCGAAATGAGTATTGATTGCGGAGACGCTGTTTCTGATGCCCGGAAGCAGTTGTGGACTTGTCAAAAAAATCATTTGTATTTCTAAGTAAATCAAACAAAAATTCATTCTATTTGTAAGAACGTTATCCGCGATGATATTTCTAACTGTGTATGTAGTGCAGACACTCTTTTTTTCTCCCTCCTTTTTTTCTGGTTTCATTGATTTCCCTTCTGCGGGCTGTAAAACTAGGTACAGCCTTTTTAGCCTCTGGATTTCTTTCTCTCATCCCCTCTCATTTTCTCTACATCGTGCAGGTGCAGACACGCTGCGTGATAACAAAAATATTAAAGTTTCTGCTTTGGGTAAAAATAACAGTAAAATGTGTTTGAAAGACACTAGTTCTGAAGCGCGATATTACACAAGCGAAGATATCACATAACTATAACGAGAGAATGATTACATTTAGCTTTTCTCTTGAAGACGTATTCTTTGCCGTGTACATGATTATTTACATTTTTTATGATGTCATTAGGCCTAGGCACAAACTACACCTCCACGGCTGCAGTGTGAATAGTTTATTTTGTACGGCATGCGGAAAAGAAGCCTACACTTCAAAAAAAAAGTTGCTGAGTCCTTCTTCTAACAGTTGGTAAAACGCGAAAGTGATATGTGTCTTCACAGAGGTAGTTGTGTCTTTATATTGCACAATTTTCCCACAAGGGCAAAGGAATGGATGCTACAGCAACAAATTGCGAAGTGACGGGAAGAAGGGCACGAAGCTCGAAACTTGCAGCACGCACATGAAGCCGAAAGCACATATAAAATGAGCATACACAGGACGATCACGGACTAACTGTCATAGCTCGATACTTTAAAGTGCGCTGTTGAAGCAGAAAGAAACACGCACAAAACAGACGCACAAGTATAGCCGTCAAACTGCCCAGGTGGCACTGCGAAAAACGCCGCCACCAGCGCCCTCATCGCTGCACTGGCCATAACTGAGTAGTGCAAAGAGAGCTGGCCACAAGCGAACGTGCATCGGTCCTCCTTTCTTGTTGCTGTTTAGGCCCGGTTTTGTGAAAATCAAGCACCTGGCAAGCTTCATCGTTGAATCCTACCTTGTTTTAGAAAAAGAAGAAGCTTATAAAACTGAACATTGGCTACAATGCAGAAGATGTTTCAGTTAGTTCGGCATGCACACGCCGTACCACTATCGGTGGTGCGACGTGTGCGATGTTGATTGCGCGTGGCAGCGTGGCACCAGTCTACTCTTGAATGGCGCGCAACGCGGTAGGCTCTCTTGAGTTTCATAATTAATGTTTCTATGGTTCTCCGTGAAGGCTGCTCACAACAATAACAGGAGGCCTACATCGCCACACTTTGTCTTGCGGCCGGTTGTGGAAAACGCGAGTAATTCACTTACCCTACACGTTACCAGCAGCTCGTATCCAGCGCTCTCGCTGTTTCGCTTCACGGAAGCCACTGAAATTGGTGAAATTGATGTCCTTTACACCCGTGGCAATCCCCAAAAAAACAACAGCTTCGACTGAGGTTGTTCTTGGTAGAGCACATAGCTGTAGCGTCTGCTCTTGTTTTCGCCGTCGTTCTGGGGAGTGAATGATCAAGCATATTGTGGGGGTTCGGTGACACGTCCGACTAGCGGAGAAAAAGTTCGTACGTTTTTTTTAACATTTAATGCGCAAACACTCCTAATATTTAGCTCAATCGTTATTTTGCCCACGCTACTATCACCTGATTATCCAGAAACTCTGCGAGGGAGTCGGCCTTAGCATTATCCAAAACTGCGCCAACAGGTGGCGCTACATGTTTGTACAACTTCCAGTTCAATTGTCGCAAGGCCCAGCTTCAGCGAGGTAGTGGTGGGGCTGGGAGGGAACAAAGCAGCCGGCGTCACAGGTGCAAGTACCCCAGGTGCAAGACGCTCCAGCTGAAAAGCCACAGCATGTGATACTTGCCGGGGACTCGAATTTAATTCGATGCACAGAAGCCATCAAAGAGAGGGTAAGAGGTGACAAGAGGGTTGCAGTAGGGGCGTTCTCAGGACGCAAGCTTGAAGCAGTCATGAGGCAAGCGAGCCCAAAACTGAAAACTACAGCTGATAGACGAAACCTCGTGATAATTTTAGGTGGGTTAAACGATGTCCTAAATGAACATACAGCAGGACTAGCAACCACACTGGCAAAAGGCGTCGATAACATGCGCGCCACTTCTCCTAAGGTACAGGTAGTGATATGTACGATACCGGAGGTACAGGTGCGTGATAGCAACCTGCAAAGAGCGGTTGTCAACGCAAACCAAGAGATATGGCGGATGAGTCGAGAGAAAGGCTTTGAGGTGGTGAAAATAAACAGAGAGGCGCATAGGTGCGGTGGTTTTCAACGCGACAGAATTCACTTCGATGACGGGCTAGGTCATGAGGTGGGCTGGCGACTTGCAGGACGCGCAGTAGCTTTTTTGCGGGGCAAGCGAGCCCTTCGGGGTGCAGGATAGCTAGTAACGAGAAAAACAACCAGGGAGACTCCTCAACAGGTGGTATGGACAGATACGATTCCAAAGTGGCACCAACATCTACGATAAGTAGAGTCCGGGGCATAAATATACGTAGCCACGAGCGCCGAGCCAATTCAGACATAAAGTATATTAACATGCACGGTGGTAGGAACAGGCTGAAGTGGGAAGAGGTAGAAGAACAGCTAAGGGAAGAGAGGCCGATGGTATACGGTTTTGTAGAAACACATCTCAGGGACATGGAACAACCTCCGAACAATCCAGACTACGCGTGGGAATATTGTAATACAACAGAAGGCAGCAGAAAGGGGGGTGGTATTGGGGCATTCATTCATAAAAGTACAGACTGGCAAAGAGTCAAGCAGGAGTGCAAGGAACATTTATGGCTAAAAAAGGAAAGTGGCAGGTCAAACGACACTCCTTGGTTTCGTGTACTTGTGGACGGGAGCAAAGGCCAGAGAGGAAAACCAGGCAATGGTAGAGTGTATATTAAAGGACACTCAGGAGTTAGGAAGAGAGTGCGAGATAATTATACTAGGAGACACGAATGCGCACATAGAAGATATAGATGGGTAGACCGACCCGACAGGCAAAATGATCGCGGATATATGTGAAAGGCTTGATTTGATCATTTGCAACAGTACCGAGAAGTGTGAAGGGCAAATAACATGGGAGGTAGGAAGGCTGCAGTCGACAATGGATTATGCACTGATGTCACATAGGATGTATGATAAGCTCAGTGGAATGCACATAGATGAAGGTGGCTCCAGAAGTCTGGGTAGTGATCACAAACGTATCAAGCTAAGTTTTTGAAGAGCAGTGAAAGTGGGAAGGAGACAAGATGAGCATGTACAGGAAAATTTTTATCCAGAAAGGCAAATTGAAATAGCCACTAAACAAATTTGAAAGTAATCACGGAGGATAACAAGACAGTGTGGACATACACGAATCTAATTAGACTCTTTGAGCTAGAGCTTGCTAAGGCACGTGACAAGCCACCCCGGAAAAGAAGACACAAACCCAAAAGTTGGTGGGACGAGGAAGTGAAGAGAGCCATAGCAAAACGTCAGGAAGCCTCTAGGGAACACAGACATGCTAAGCAGCGGGGTGAACCGACAGAGGATGTTGAAAGAAAATGGGAAACTTTTCTAAGCTGTAGAAGGAATGCATCCCTTCTGATCAATGCAAAGATTAGAAGAAAGGGAGCTCAGTGGCTGGCAGAAGTACATAAAAAAAGATAGAAAGGCAGCTGCGAAATTTTGGAACCATCTAAACTCCCTAAGAAATGAGACGAGCCTAGAGCAGAATTTAATAACTACAGCCCAAGGTGCTAGGGTAGAAGGGGACGAAGCTATTGAATATATAGGAACATGGGTGACAGAAAAATTTTCAACAAAGAAGTACTTCATGCACCACAATAGACAAGGACGAATCAAGTGGTGCAATGGCTCCATTTTCACAACGAGAGTGGGAAAGGGCCGAGAAAAGGGTTCCTAGTAGTACATCAACAGGCCCAGACCGCATTCCAATTATGCTGATAAAGACAATAGGTCCGAAGTTTAAGCAGGTTTCGAGAGAGGCAGTGGGCAAAATAATAATCGATGACGAAGTTCCCGATGGATGGAAACTTAGCAGGATGAGCATGATCTCTAAAGGAAAGGGGGACAAAGCTGACATAAACAACTACCGTCCTATAACAGTGACATCAGTGGTCTACAGGCTGGCGATGCAGATCATAAAGGAAAGACTGCAGGCATGGATAGAAGATGAGGGGGTGCTGGGGGAACTGCAGAATGAGTTTTGGAAACACAGGAGGTTGGACGACAATCTGTTCTTACTGGCGCAG